GCGACTGCTCCTGCTCCTGCTTCTGACTGTAAAAAACGGAAATGGGGCAATCATAAATTTACACAGATATGCAAGTGCCCTGGCCCCGGTTGGGGTTTCGCTATGTGTCTCTGTGTGTGTGTGTGTGTGGCAGTCTGTGGGCAGAGCAGAGCGTACCCTCTTCAACCCACAACCAACAACCAACAGCCAACATCCACTATCCACTGGAACTACAACAAACAAACAGACCAAACAGAGTCCAACAGACAAAACAACAAAAATTACAAGAAATCAAAGAAAAATCTTCAACAAACACGAAGCTGGGAGTACCCTAACAAAGGCCAAAGGAAATCCTTCAACATGTTTCCAACGAATGCGGAATTCTATAATGCTTATGCCATGAAAATCTGTATAAATCTTTTGCGGAGTTTTCTTGAACTGTTTTTGTGACTTAACTTTAATTTACTGATCTTTCCATATTATTCAGCTTTTAGTATTTAATTAAAGATTTACTCTTACAGAAATATACCAAAATGAATATAACCCTTAGATGTTCCAAATATGAAATCTTTTGGAATTGCAAACCCTTGGCTTCGATCTGAGATGCTCCCGTGATTTTTGCCGTGATAATATCCGAATCCACTGCATAGCTAAAATACAAAAAAAATATTTAACAATATATTAAAAAAACATGTTAAATGTGTCTTGATTTTGTACATATGTATGTCTTAAAAAAGTAATAAATATTGGTGAAAAAAATATATTAAAGTGTTCTCCGCAGTTAAGTCGAAATTCTTGACTTATTCTCTTGGATAACCCATTTTAACCACAAAGAAAATCGATCAAATATGATTTCTTATTATTAAATATTTTAGATTTGAGTTGCAATTGTTTCCAGAGCTCATTAGAGTTTCATTCAGCGGAAAATCGCGTAATGTTTTAGGCAATTCCAGTATACACACGAGTATTTCTTGCTCCAAAATCTAGATGCACATATTTGTGATATCCACAGACTCGAGCCTGAGCATTTGGCGCTGGAATTCACAAATATCTTCCCCAGTAGCAAGTATTTCACGAATGCACCTCCAATGCTCCAAGTTTTGGGCTTCGCATACAATTCCGCTGCTGCCAAATGGCTCTAAAGTTTATGTGTTTGTATTTGTGTTTGTGTGTGTGTGTGTGTGTGTGTGTGTGTGTGTGTGTGTGTGTGTTGTGTGTGTGTGTGTGTTTCTGTGTGGTCTTCTTTGTGTGTTGTGTGTGGGTGGTGCAGTCATGGGAACGACTTCGATTTAATGCGAATGCGATGCGTTGTCCGATGCCTGCCTGCCTGCCTGCCTCTGAATGGATTTGCCTTCGCCAATCCCCTGAACCCATTCCGCTGCCCCCTTTTTCCATCCATCCATTATTTTGTGTGTGTTTTTTTTCGCTTTGGGTTCGCTGAGCTGAGATTTGTGGTGCGGTGCAAATAGATTTCTAGCGTAGAACATAAATAATACTCACACACAGACATACACACAGGCACACCCATAGACATTGGCCTTTTAAATGCGAGTATCTGTGTGAATGCGAATGTGAGTGGCAGTAGTTGATCCTCTTCCTTTGCTGGCGTGGGAGACAGCAGAAAAAAGGACAAGAAAGTAAGAAAAAGAATAAAAAACAAACGGTTTGCTGGTAGAACGATATTTAGATACTCTAGCAGATACTCTAGTTCCATTGGTATGCTATAATATTTCTATTTTGATTATATTTTCAGTTGCTTAATGAAAAAATCCTAGCTTTGCTTCTCTGATCAAAACCGTAATACCCTCTGAAAGGGTACAAAAAATGGGGAAAATTCTGAAATCAAAATCAAAGTGTTTGCATTTGTGAAAATCGCACACAAAGGCAGTGTAGGGAGCCATGAAGCGGCTGAAGGATGCAGGGGGGCGACCTCCTCCATGGAGAGCGAGAGAGAGTTAGGAGTGGAGTATGGAGAGGGAGATAGCTAAGGCATACGGAGATGGAGAGCTGCATTTAAGGCGTAACTGTGGGCGTGCCAGGGTCTGTTCGCCTGGCTTTGCATGCAAATTTTCCAGCTCTGGCAAAACGTTTGACATTTGCCATTGCCCTGTCTACCCGGGAGATAATGTGGCCTCAGTGCCTCTGTCTCCCAGAGATCTCTCAGTTTTTGTCAGGCATTCTTTTTGTGTACCCGTACCCCGTACCCCGTACCCCGTACTCTCCATCCTTGCTATATCTCTGGTGCTGGTGCTGTCGCATATTTCTGCGAGTTGGGTGGGTGGTCGTGGTGCCCCCCCCCGTCCTGGCATAATGATGGGCATGGCTTGTTTTTGCATCCTGCATTCTTCATCCTCTGCCTGCCGTTTGATTTGTATTTGCATATCGCCTGGCCACATTCTTGCCTCGTCCTGCACGGACTGGTACTGGTGTCCCTCCTCATCCTCTTCCTCGTCCATTGCTCGCTCAGCAATTTATGCAGCTAGGCATTTTGGGGGGGGGGCTTTGACTGTGACTACATTTTTGGCTTCATTAGTGACTGGCCCAGGTGTAATTAGTACCTGAAGCGTGCTCATATTTGTTTGGCTCGACCCAGCCCTTCCCGTGGCAGGAATTTCACTTGGTTTAGGCGCTCCCTCCGTTTGCCTAAGCATTTCCAGTGCAAACTGAAACTGAAAATGAGCCAAGCCAGAGCATTTGACTGTTGAGAGTGTAACTTTACTGTTCACACACTGCTGCCACTCCTGCCACTCCTGCCACTCCTGCCACACCTGCCACACTCCCTTCTCTATGCCAACAATCGATATCTATACGGTTACAGGCTTATGCTCTGCTGCTGCTGTTGCTCCTTCGGATGTTTTGAAAGCCAACTTCAGGCAAGTATTTCTTGTTCTGGCTTTAGATTGTTTGAAGATCTCATAACAAGTTCTGGGGGGCTGCATTCGGCTGGAAATTCCCAAAAGTGTTAAAAATTGTACAGGCACCCCCCACCCGCCGACATGGTCCGGGGAGAGATGGCTAGCAATCCGAGTCGACTCCTAGCCTCTATCGAGGACTTTCATCTACAGCTCTCTGGCCAGGGTAATCCCCAAGTGCTGCTGAACATGAGAATAACACACGTAATGCATATTTAAACATTTGCTGATAACAAATGACACAAAGGTGAAGCAGAACCTCAGGTACTCCGAATGGGAATGGCAATGGGAATGGCAATAGACACAGCCGACACACGAGTCGAGTCGAGTGGAGTGGAGTGGCGTCGATCCCATGGAAAACAATGACAGGCGCTGGTTCCTGGCTCTGGCTCTGGCACTGTGGGGGAGGGGATGAGAGTTGGGCAAATGTTTGGCCAACTTAAACCTTAATCAATGCAAAAGTTTTTGGCCTAATCGCTCTCAATTATTCAAGTGAAACGTGGCATTTAACAACTACGTGAGCGAGTGGGAGGGAGCGGCACACCAAGTGGAGAGCGGGAGGAGGTCCTTAACGAGGCATAACTTTCGCTCAGGTTCAGGCTGGAAGTGGACGTGGACGTGGAGAAGAAGGTGCAACGGAATTGCCAGTAAGTATAATTTACCTAACCAATGTCTGGGGCTACTCAGCCCCGGGGATCCGTTCGGGCTCAAGTAGAGACCGAAACCGAGTTGGCGGCCTGTTAAGTGCCACACACACACACAGACACAACCAGTTGGCAGGGTTAATAATAATGATATTTAAGCCGAGTGGGCAGGACCGGTACTGGCAACGGGACGGGCATCGCTCTCTCTCTCTCTCTCTCTGTCTCTCTCCGTTGCAATGAAAGGACAAAGTTGCCAACGGAAACGGAAGCAACTACACAGAGTCCTTCTCTCATCCTCTCTCTCTCTCTCTCTCACTCTCTCGCTGTGTGTGTGTGTGTGAATAAGCCTTTTGTAACCAAAGTCATACGAGTGGTACCTGGTGGTATAGCTGGCCAAACTGTAACTGGAATTACTAAAAAACTATTCACCCACACACACACACACACACACACACACACACACACACACACAGGCAAATATATTGTGCCATTCTGAATGTTGAAAATTGAAAATTTTTCAAACTTTACAGCTAACAAGATTTGCTGTGGGGCGAAGCCTTTGATACCCTTGGATATGCAACACATTTGGTCACTCACTATTGGCTGTTCAATAATTAAATTAAGTAGCTATTAAGTTTTTATATTACGTTAACATAGGGACACTTTAAAGGAGCCCAAAATTCTGGGATGCTCGAAACCATAATAATTTCTGAAAGGGTATAAATACGAAGTGGGATGCACTCTGCAGAGTCAGGGGGATATCTGGAGTACATATGTATCTGCAGGATAAGTCCCTTCCCCCACCACTCCCCACCCCGTTAGCCCTTTCAGGTGTGGCAGGATGAGTGCCACCGGGGCCTGATGAAAAGTCAGGAAGTAAAGTTTTACGGTTCACATAAAAGCTGAAATGTTCATACAATCAGCATGAATAATAACTCGGATGTGGATTAATACTTGGTCCAAGTGTGGACTGTGTATGTGTATGTGTGTGTGTGTGTGTGCATGGCTTACTGACAAGCCTTCTAGCCTGATTTTGTGGCCAAATCTGTAACGCTCGGTTTCCCTCCACAAAAGTTCAGAGTTGCCCCACTCTGCGCTTTTGATTTTACCTATAATTAAGAAAACTATTCGAAATCCACTGCCCCCAACAGAGTTGGTTTAAGCCAACAAATCTAGAGCAGAAATAGCGCAGATTTGGGGAGCATTAATATGGGGCGAATAGAAAAGATCAGCTCCAAAAGTAAAGACAACCGGAAGACAATTTTTGAAAAAGTAAACTCAATAACAGAGTTGACATTTCTTCATTTTAAAATATTTATTGGAAAACAAAAGAGGAGCCGTTGCTTTTTCCTATAACATTTTTGACTGTGTGCCTTCCCTTACATATTTCATTTCGAGTCAAGCTGTAGAACGGGAAACAACAAATTTTAAAATATTTCATTTCGAGCTTAGCTGTGGAACGGGAAACAACAAATTTTTTAATATTTTATTTCGAGCCTAGCTGTAGATCGGGAAACAAAAAATTTTTAAATATTTTATTTCGAGTCAAATTACCAAACGGGAAACGAAACTTTTTAAGTTTCTTTAAGATGACTCAATCAGATGATACGCAAGTTCAGCGTATTAAAATAAAATTGTGCGCGTCGAACTGTTATTATCCATTTGATTGTGTACGCGAATACAAAATGAAACTCAACTCAAATTTCAAGAAACTTGCTGTGTTAATATGCAGAGAAATGCGCATGCCATACTCTCTGCTGCGCTTTCACTTCGAAGGAAAGCGCATCAGACCGACGCATACGCCAGAGTCACTGGGCATGGAGAATGGCGACACCGTAGATATTCTTACAATGCAAGGGGGCTCGTTGATGGATTCAAACTCGGTGAAAGACCTCTTCGGTAAGTTACACAGAATCAATTGATATGCGAAACGGCCAATTATGAACATCCACCAAACCGCCAAAGGTCGTTTTCTGCTGCACCAGGGCACGTTGAATTCTCGAGGAAAGTGGTAAGTGCTGAGACATAAAATGGCTGTACATACTCGTACCTGTAGTTGCTCAGTTGATGTGGAATAAACTCATTTTTTTTTCTCAGGCAGTTGGTGAAACATCGAGGCTACGGCGTCTCTATCTTTTTGCCAATATCGTTAATATCCAAATGTAAATATGAATGGAAATTTACATAAAAATGTATTTACATAAGTGTATAAATATGCATGTAAATTGCTGTATTTTCTGTTTTTTTCACACCGTTATAAAATTGTCTTTTCCGCTTAAATGTACAACTCGATTAAGCTGCCAATTATAGGCAGCCGAAAGCCTGCTTACAAAATTTTAACACAAAATAAAAAAAATATAATAATACAAATATTACTCTCCACACGAAAACTTTAAAGCCCTTTTCGAGCATTGCAGTAATTTATAATTGTTAATTAATTAAATTGTTAAATTGTTAAATAATTTGATCCAAATAAACAGCCATTTGTTCAAATATTTATTGTATATTTCTTACATATTTTACTCAATCATGGACTAAATATAGTATCATTTATGGTAAACTTTGTGCCCTGAGGCAAAGGCTACCCCACAATTCAAGAAAAAAGCTAAAATCAAACGAATCAGATATTTTCTCCAACATATACGCAACTTACATATAAGGAAAATACCACCTCCTGTCCAAGCTCATAAATTAGAAGAAATTGCGATGACACGACAGACCGAGCCGGACCAGAATGGAAATGGGGGGAAAATGTCCAGGAATTTGGCATCAGCAAATATTTGCAGCACGTTTTTCGTTTACATATCAACTTGACAACTTTTGCATTACGATTAAGATGTACAGCCCGGGCCGGGCCGGGCCGGGGGACCGGAGAACAACGTTATCAACACCTTTCTGAGGGGCCCGGCAGGCGGACACACACACACACAGACAGACAGCATCCCGTCCCGTCGCGTCTCATTCACGTCCAAGTCCAAGTCAGGGGCGAGATTTATGTGTTTTGCTTGGCTGCTGCCATTCTGCTCGTGTGTCCCTTCCCTGCTTCTGCTGTACGACAATAAAACAAAACAGAGCAAAACCGAACAAAAGTTGCGATTAGATGGAACAGCATAGTTATGACTTAAGGGGTAAGGTAAGGGATTCCAGAGCACAACGACGACGACAGCGCACTCGTAAATATTAGAACTTGGGTTCCGCTTGGTTCCGATTTGGGTTCCAATGGCGAAGGCAGCATCGAATGCCAAATATTTTGACGTATTTCAGGAACGGGAACGGCGAATTTCCCACACCCGCAAGAGTCACACGCAAACAATGGCTATTATGGCCACAAACGGTGGAATAACAAAGCGAATGGATGTGGATGGACTTTGATCGGGGAGTCGCATCGTGGGTGCCCTGCACCGTGCAACTCAGTGTATAGGAAATCTGCGATAAATCATATTTCAATCACTGCCGCATTTTCTGATGAATACTATTACATTTGTATATATATTTATTGCACTGTGATGCAACCAAGTCCGTGTCTGATATCCTTCTTATGCCCTTTACCGCAGCACCAGGTAAAATCAGTTGCCTTCAAAACCACCGAACTCCGCAGTCGTGGGCCATTGGAACTTATATTTATGAGCGGCATTCGCGAGTGTGTTTCTGGTGAGAGTGCGTAGGAATTTTGCTTTTCGTTCGTTAAGATTTACGAGGCATCCAAACCTAAACACAGACACACACACGAAAAGGGAAGAGCGAGCGAGTGAGAGCCAGCCAGCCAGAGAGCACGTCCTGGGCCACGTCGCCGCTGACTTTAGAAATTAATTGGCCCAACTAAGAAATTCGAGAGTAAACGTCGTGCTCATAAGTCCTGCCATCGTCCTGAGATGCGGTTTTTTCCGTGCTCCAACTCAGGCACTAGCTACAGTTCCAGCTCCAGCTCTAGCTCTAGCTACTGCTCATGGTCCTGCAGACAAAATTAATTTGTTATCCTCGCTTGTTTAACGCAGCTATAAATTATGATGCCAAAGTTTTTGGCCACTCAAAGAGCACACAACAGGAGGAGAAGCCAAGCCAAGCCGAGCCAAGCCGCACGGGGAGACGAGACTTTTCACCGTGGCCTGGCCTGGCCAGGCCATCGCCGGCAACGTTGCCTTGGCAATTATTAGCTTTTGTTACGCACACTTTATCACTGGCCATGTCGATATGGGGTTCCGTTCCCCTCCCTGCACCCCATCTCTCTTCCACGCTCTTTCGATATATATGGGCCGCGTAATTGGTGGGCACGTTAATCAACACTGGAGTATGAGGCAGGGACATGGACAGGGGACTGGGACAGGGATCCCTTCCCCGTGGTCTTTTGGCCAATTAGAGACCCTGGGCCGGGCAACGCCTCGAAGATGGATGCTGATGAGCCTGCGCTGATGCCTTGATGCCCAACGGCCCGAACATAAATCCTGGTCGGAAGCCACTATTAGCTTGGTGTTTAGTAAGCCTCCAGCTTGATGGCCTTTGATTAGCTCCGATATGGATGCTTGCCATAAATTAGCACGGCTCTTTGTTTAAAAGGTAAGCCAGGATTAGGTACACATAGTGGTAACTTGAGCGAAAGTAAAGTCCAGCTAAAGTCCGGCTATTTTGCTGATGGAAAAAACTTGTGATGTGTTAAAAACATTTTCAGCAAGCGGACAATTTTCTTCTTCTTTTTAACATTTTTCAAAAAGTTTCTTTAAAGGTTTTTTAAAGGAGACTTTCTAAGAGATCTAAGACTGAATTATAATTTTAATTAAATAAAATCTACGTTTATATATATTTAAAGTCTTTGAATAAGATATGTATATGATTCAAGAACATTATATACGGAGTCTATATAAGAATGGAAGTGCTATGCCTAGCAGAGACTATAATTCAGCGAATCAGGAAATAAGTTTCAAGAAAATTCAACCAAATAGTGGAAGAATCTCCCATTGAAGAAGATTTTGCACTCATCCGCCCAGTGTATATCTATTTTTTGTTTTGTCAAAGCCTCTAGCAGCATTTAATCCCTTTGCTACCACGCAATACTCGTATTCCACAGCAGATTGTACCGGATCAGGTACTGGGCTGGGCGATATTGCTGATTTTCCACTTGATTGCTTCAACTTATCCAGCGCTCGTTTTAAAAAACAGATTAAATTTCCCCCACCGCCCCACAACAGTCGCATGCCCCAAACCCAGTACGGACTACCAAGCGTCGCGACTCCCCTGTTAACCGTTGGCATCGTTGTCGCCTTGTTAATTAAACGTGGCACACACACCGCACCACACCGCACCGCACCGCACCGCACCGCGCCACACCGCCCGGGATCGGGCTAGGGTTCTGGATGCGATGCGGCATTGCGCCTCGATTGCGATTGACACAATAAATTGTCAATTACAGTGCAATTACGTATGGAAATCGCTGGCGTTCTGGTCTCGTATACCCGCGGGTCTGGAGCGGAGCTATACAACAACAAAAAAAAAAAAAGAAAAGTGTAAATCCCCATTGCTGCGAGGCGGGGAGGGATAACAGTAGCGCCACAACAGCAGTCGCCGCTTGATTAAATCGATAAAAATCGAGTCGCATTTTAAACGCAGTTACAGCGCACACAATAGAAACGTGCAAATATTGTCGAGGGGGTTAACAGAATGCTGCTGGGCTGTTCGATGCTGCAGGATGCTCTCCCAACGAGAACGACAGAGATGCCACAAGATATGGGGACTGTGATGGGTTGGGTTGGGCGAGTGGGGCGAGTGGGGCGTGGGCGGCAGACATTTAAAAACGGTCAAACGTTATCAACACATAAACGAGAAATTCGGTCAACATGACATCGTTGTTGGGGTCCAGATAAAGTGCGAGATGGGAACAAGTTTCCCCTTTTTTCGGAGTGTGTTTTTTCCAGGACTGCCGCAGGACAGGAATCAGTCGGGGACAACAGTGTAGACCATAGTTGCGATGAGGAGGGCAAAAAATAGATACGGTAGATTGGGAATTTGTTTTATAATTACTAGAAAAGAAAGGAAGAGTTCATAGAGGAAAGGAACACAAAAAATAGCTCGATTTGGGATTTTGTTTGTTATGAGAACAAAGGTTGGAATAGCATTCATTGCGGAGATAGATGAAAGCCATAAAGCACTTACAAACAAATCAGAAGACTTCCTTGGCGCAGTTCTTCGCAACTCTTTTTAAATTCTCTCTTTAAATTGCAAAGGCACCGCCATGGATTATCTATCGATGCCAGGCCATAATCCAATAAACTCCATGAGGAACTCCACCAACAGGATGGCCGAACATGTGTCTCCAGGCCACGCCTGGAAATGTGTCATGTGCCCCGCACCCACTCCACTATTTGGTTGGGTGCCTGCGAGTGTGTGTGTGTGTGTGTGTATGTGCGGGTGTGTATTTCCGTGTCCGCTTCGTTAATAGAGTTAGTTACACATACCGCTAACTGCAACAGCAATGGGCGAAAAAATGCTGCACTGAGCCACTGGCTGTACGAGCAGTAACCGAAAATTGCCAAACTGGAATGGGAACAGGTGCTGGTGGCCAGAAACCGAAAATGGGAAACAAACCAAGAGTTGGCGCGGATGTCGGTGTCGTAGAGCGTAGTCAATGGCAGCCACTGGTGGGCCACTGTCACCATTGCAATGGTCCCCCCCCCCCTAACCACTCCCTTCTGTTCGGTTCTGCTCTGCTCTGGCCAGGCTGTTTGCCTTTCTTTTGCTGTTGTTTTCAGCCATACAAAGTTGTCAGTGTTGCTGCTGCTGCTGCTGCTGCAACGTTCTGTGAGCATTTAACTATTTTTGCAATGGCGTTAATTGGAAATGGCAATTTCATGCGCCTCCCCAATCGCGCAACAAACGTGGATGGGGCATCGCTACATCCCCCTCTTTTACTTCTCCCTTTTATTTTGCCTTTCTACATTACTCCCTTCTCTCTTTCACTCTCTTTGTTTACCGTTTGTCTGTCTCTTTCACTTGGAGTCTTGTTCGAAATTTTGTACCCTTTCGGAGGCTAATTCTAATGTGATTCTGAGCAGATTTTGCAGATTATAAAATATATTTTCCATACGAACAATTTGTCAAAAGATAATAATTTTAATATATTTTCTGTTAGCTTATCCATATATGACACAAATCTAATGATTATGTCATATTAGGGTTCATGTTAGGGTATCTAAGGAATCGGTCTCCAAGCTACATTTAGTTTCAGTTTTTTGTTTGTTCTTGCCTAGCTTTTCTGTCTCTCTTTCTCCCTCTATATTTTCGTGACGTTTTTATTTTATGGTATTTTTTTTTCAACTACTACACACAGATACACACACACACGTAGACTCAATCTGTGGCACACATTTTCAAGGGAAAGCAACACCAACTGCAGCAGCGGTAGGAGGAGAATGTAGCATAGTTCGATCGGTTGGCGAATGAATATAAGC